TACTAGAGTTCAACCACCTACTAGTTTGGGACTTGAAGTAAGACCTCAGATACTTAGTGAAGAAAAAAATAATAATCCATTAAGAATAATCGTAGGTTAGGATGTAATTCAAAAATATGCGAAACTTGTTTTGCAAAAGCATTCTAACTATCTTAGGGATTAAACTATCGAAGAAAAGGAAGCGATGAAGGAAAACTTCATATATTTCAACTGAAAAGGTCTACTAGAATGCCATTATATAAACGTATATATAACAAGGATCAGCAGTGATTCAGTCATGTATGTGCTAGCAGTGGAAAATTCATTATAAAATGCTTTTAGCAGAATAGTGATGAACCAGTAGAAATTTTTGAATGTGATCCATCTATTGCAGAAAAAATTTGACAAGAAAATAAAAAATCTCTGCAATCCTTTCACAAGGTTAAGGTTTCAGATTTCCCTAAAGTCTTCTTAAAATTCACATCTTGGGTCAAGTATGATGACCCCCTTACAGCTACAGAAATGTATGAGGAGAGATATGTAAGACCATTATCTAATGAAGGCAATATTTATGTAGAATCACCTTGGGAGACAGGAAAAACATATATTCTAGAGCATCTTACTATATCTGATGACGTGAATATACATGAAGTCGAAATGAAAACCCAAAAGTTGAAATGTTTCGACTTTAGAAGTCAAAGTCAAAATGAAAAGTTGAAATAGTCAAAATTACGTCATATCACATGATTTTTTATATATAGAAAAAACAAAAAAAACAAAAGATATAAGATCTTGATCAATATTGCACTGATTCATATTAAACAACTACCATTCGATTCCTCGCAACTAGATAAATCCAATGAGCTAACATTCATTAATTTTGGATCAGCTCATCTCGAGATATTCGCGATCGTATTTCGAAATCTGGACTCCTTTATTTAAAATAGAATTTATTGATTCATAATTTCGGCCGATAATACAATTGTGTTTATCTCGCGATTGGATGATATAAAATCAATGAATGTTAGCTCATTGGATTCGTCAAGTTGCAAGAAATCGAATGGTAGTTGTTTCATACGAATCGGAGCGATATTAACTGAGATCATATATTTTTTGTTTATTGTTTTTTCTCAATATGAAAATCATGTGATATGATGTCATTTCGACTATTTCGCAACTTTAGCCTTCAATGGTCGAAATGATTTCGACCATTTTGACCATTTCGGTTATCCGAAATAATCCATTTCGACTTCATGTATAGACGTGAATTTACTAGTTTTATCCACATGTCACTCCTATTCAAATGCTATTACTACAAGACTTAATCTCAAATCATATTGCGATATTGATAGTAATATAAATCTTTCTGATCATAAGAGAGTTGTGTGTCAGATGGAAAGTTTACATCGCATTACTAATAATTGTAAATGTAATAAAAAATGCAAATATCTTTCAATTCAATATGACTTATGGCTTGATGAAATAGTATCTATAATTGCTTAAGCACAAAGTCGTTTAGCAGGGCAATCAATAGAGAAATTATATAAATTAATTCAGAGGCTAGACATATTATCATTATGAATAATGACCTTACTGATCTTAACATTGAATGGATTAAGACCCTTCGTAAGAACATACCTTTCTTTATTATTCATAATACTTATCAGCCTCAGAAAGGCAAGATGTTCCGCTTGACTCCTAATAAAAAAACAGTATTAGCTAAACTTTAGGATTGGGCTAAGCAGATGATTTCACTACCTTTTGAGGAACGGAAAAGTGCATCACTTATCTGCTATCAAAAGGATATACAAGGGATAGTTCGTGCTCTTAAGACCGATTTTCCAGAACTAAGAATCAAGGAATATCATGATAAATTAGATCCTGAGGAAAAGGCTCATGATTTTAGCAATGTAGAAGAATCATGGAAAGATTTAGACCTAATTGCCTATACTAGTACTCTAAAAATAGGAGTATCATGTACCAATCCTAAGTTTGAGCAGGCATTCTGTCTTTTTAATAGCTTCATAGAAATAAACACTGGAATAAATCAAAAATTATTCCACATGCGATGCATTAAAGATTATATATGCCATATTGAATAAAGATCGTTTAATATTCCTATTACAGAGAAAGGATTATTCCAATGGTTGTTGAATACCAAACGTGAATGCCTCCCCCGAGAGCTTCATAATAGAGGAATATTTCTAGATATCAATTCTATTATTCAGAATAAGGATGTACTAACCATTCGATTGTAGGTGGCCTATATGTTAGAAAAATTTTGTTCTCAGCGTTTATTTGGTTGGAGGATGATTGATTTCCTTTGAAAAGCTGGCATGGAAGTTTCGATCATAGAATTAGGTCTTAGATCTAAAGAAAATATATTATCGCAAGTGATAAAAGCAAATTGCACTATCGTTAAAGCAGAGGAAATATCAGATATATCTAACGCTACTGTTATTAATCATGAAACTGCTGAATTTTTGGAGAATAAGCCAAAGAAGACCTTAGAAGAAATGCATTCTCTAGACTGGCATCATATTGTAGAATCTTATAAGATTTCTTCTGAATATTGACCAAAGATTTTATTTTTAAATATGAAGATTTTAATCATATGAAATAGTTTAGAGCTTATAAACAGTTACGAGATATTGACACTAATAATGAAATGGCTGTTGAGGCTATTACTTGCAAAGATTATAGAGAAGATAAACTTATCATAGCTACTCAAGCTAAGAGACATCGAATTTGTCAGGAATTACTAAGAAATTGTACACCTGTTAGAGACATCGATGATAGAGCACGATATAAAGCTAATGATGTTAAAATACATATTAATTCTCCTGAATTGATATTATATCTTCAGGATTTAGTTTCCAAAATGGCTCGAGTATTTGATAATACAGATGCATTGTGCAGAGCTAAAAAATAGGATTAAAAACAGTTTGAGCGAAACTCGGCTTACTAAATTCAGCATTGCATGCAACATATGAATTAAAATTTAAGGCTATAGATAAGGATGTAGGTATTACCATCTAGTTGGATCTTTTGATAGTAAAGATGCCCAAAACTTTCTTTATATCAAACAGGAGAAGAAATATACTGGGAAAATGGTAAAGATGTCTGATATGCTTATAGTAAGCTCACTTCTGATAAATTATTATTAGGTAATCTTTCTAGTTCTAATAAAGTAAATACTACGCAAATCACAGAAGATATTCAGGATATATTTGATATATGTTAATAATATCTGATTATGAATCTAGTAGGTGAAACCTTCTTCTATATTATTAAAAAATTTCATCATCATTATAACACTTCGGCCAGGATACATACTTTTGAGATGTAGGCTTCTGCCAATAATATTTATAATAATTCTGCAGAAGCCTACACATTTTTTTATACTGGTTTTAATAATTTTTTAGCCACTACTTGACAGATAATTTAGAAGTCTTTGCGAGTTGAAGAGCCTCAGCCTTACATTTTTGCCTTATTCGATAATTATGCGAATGAATACTGGCAGTTTTATCGTGACAATATCCTGAATCAGCATCAGTAGGAAATTCACAACCACTAAAAAGACAGGGTCTTTTTTTCGAATTCTTTTTATACAATTTCCAGTGCCTATAACATCCTTCAGGAAGCCAGCATTTATTTCCACAAATAATGCCATCCCTCTTGATATATGCGCAAGTAAAATGGACCATGAGAGTATTTTAGGATATAAAACCCTCTTTTACTTTTAATTTTATAATAAAACATGTATTTAAATTAATTGATATTATAATGAGATAAACTATCTTTTCATACTTACGTTATAGACATAATGCAAAGAATGGTACTCAATATACTAACTGGCCAATGGGTCAACCTAAATGGAAAGCTATTCCAGAAGCTAATTCAAGAAGGTTACAGATACGCTGATAGGCTTTTAGATTATTTAGATGATATTGGGACTATAGATATTGGTAAATTCGAATTAGACATCTTAGCCGACTTCTATCATCCAGTCCTAATTCCGCCTTTATCTATTCTAGCTAGTAGATCAGATATTTGTAAAAGGCTTCCTAATAGTGTAGAATCTACTGTAATAGGAGGAGTGAGTCTATTTACTCTAGAAAAAAATAAACGATCTTCACTTCAGAATTTAATCCAAATGAATTATTCCAGTGATAGCTTATCTACATTAATAGGGATAACTTGGGAGTGTAAAGAGACAAAAGCTTGAAGGAACGACATACTTATAAAACTCCTATATCACCCAAATTTTACTCCTTCAAGGTATAAACTAGGTGCTTTATATGATACATTAATCAAGACAGATGTTTTAGGACCAGAGCATATAATAGCTCTCTTGTGAATATTTTACTAAAATGTATTTACAATGCAAATAAATCAGTACATAGCCTTGGGATGGGGGTCCTATGACTATATATTTTTCACATATCATATCTATCTGCAGTTTTCAAATTGATAAAATACCTTTTTTGACTAAGTCATAGGTTATATTATTATTTTTCTCATCTGACCTTACTGACCATGAACGGGTACTAAAGGGATCACGTAATAAATTATCGGGAATATTTTTCTGAATTAAACTTTTTTATGCGTAGTATAATCTAACGGTTTAGTATAATATAATAGTTGATCTATAATCTCTATTTACATTATCATGTTTGCAATTATAACAAAATATATTTCAGACCGCAAACTCAACCCAAAGATGAGTAATGGAGAGCTTAGTCAGTGTGCATCAGAATTACTCAAGCTCTTGACAGATAGAACGAAAAGAGATAAGGGTCATCGGCGTCTTAAAGATGTATATAGTTTTAGCAAAGAGCAGATATCCATACTAGTCCCCTCTCAAAAAACTGGTCGAGCTAAAATACAAGTAACTTCTCAAAAAGAGGAGACAGAAGCAGAAGTAAATATATGCCAAGTATCTGATATTATTTCAGAAGGAGAGACTATCAAAGAAATGGCTCAACGTATTATATGAGATAATCTTAGCAAAAAAGAAGTGGAAGCAGTACGTAGAGCCTTAGTCGAAACAGCTACTGATACTGTTGTTAGTTCATCACGTATATATAGGGTTCGCAAAATCTCAATGCTCCAGAAGAAATAACTACTACCATGTTTGACCGAGAAATAACTTGTGCATCTAACAAAATTCAAAAGGTGCGAAGTAATCAATGTGAAAATGAAGGAACCAATTTTCCAGATCTCTTATCATTAGAATCAGTTAAAGAGAGACTGGATTCATATGATGTGACTAATAGGGTTCCTCAAAATCGAATCGAATCAAATATTTAAGCAATTTGAATTTGATTTGATTTTTTCAAATCGAATC